ATCCAAAGCCCATTGACACAGGCCCTTAAAAATATGCTTAGCACTCTGCTGGCTTCAGAACTCCAAGGCCAGTGGAGAACCATTAAAATGAGTGCATTACGCAGAAAGAAATCCATGGTACTGTAGGCTCACCACACCAACTTGACTTTAATAAATAGGTCACAGAATGCAGGCCACGGAGTGGAGTAATTTAGTAGTGTAGAACACATAGTGTTATAATTGAGCCCTCAAATGTAATTTCTTTAGGGTATACATCTATTGTATATTGCCCAAAGTGTCAGCTGCTGGCTCTCAAAGGGTAGATGTTTATTTATTTATCCCCAACATTGTGCCCCTTTTATATACAAGCTGCGAGTGGCCATCATAATGGGCAACGCTGCAATGATTCCAAGTGTGGCACCCTCTAGGGATGCTAGAGTGTCAAATTTAGTTTGGCCCACAGTAGTGACGTAAGCATGTCTGGTTGAGTTACTTTAGGTCAGGCTGGAGAGCTCTACAAGTCAGGACTCTAGTACCTCCCCCCTGGTTCTGGTGTCTTCAAGAAGAGTCTAGAAGCTAGTGGACAGAGGGTGTAGACTAAAACCTGTATATTCATGGGAGTCTAAACAATCCCAGGCAGGAGGCCTGGCAGAGTGGAAGACAGGCCCATAAATATGAGAGCCTAGCCAGCGAAAGGAGTCTGGTGATTGGGTGAACGATGGAGTGGTGAGGACCGCGGGCCCTGGGAGGGAACCCAAGGGAAGAGGGGCCCTGCCTCTAGGCTGGAGTTGAGGAGGAGGAGAAGGAAGAAGAGGTTTGACACAGGGAACTGCACCATAAGTCCTATTCCGAGGGTACCCTGTTCAGCATGGAAGACTAGCACAGCTAAAATGCCTGAACAAGCAGTCTTATGCAAAACCGCAGGATACAAGGGACTGAGCAAGTACCTCTACACCCCCAGGGCCTACAAGGGAGAGGGCTGCCAGGTGCAATACCCAGCAAGTTCTCCCTGGGACATTGCTAAGGCCTATTCTGGAATCCCATGCTCTGGGATACTCTTCGAGGCAGCCAGGTGGGTGGGTAGTATACATCTGGAGTCTGAAGGGATTCACTTAGAAGGGACCGAGTGTTCCTTAAGAGACTTTGTAACTAATCTGTTAAGAGACAGAAGCCACTCTGGAGGGAGTAGAGTCCAGGATCCATCGTTTTTTGTACAGAAAATAGTAAGTTTGTCCTCAGAGTTACTGTTTCCAAGTCAGGTTGGGCTTCCCATATACCCCTAGAACAGGGGTGGGCAAACTTTTTGACTTGAGGGCCGCAATGGGTTCATATATTGGACCCGGGGGCCGGACCAAGAGTAGATGAATGATGTGTATGTGTCATCCATAGTAAGTATAGTAATATTCCCCCATAGTAAGCATAGTAATTAATCCCCCATATAGTAATTCATCCCCCATAGTAATTCATCCCCCATAGTAATTCATCCCCCATAGTAATTTCATCCCCCATAGTAATTCATCCCCCATAGTAATTTATACCCCATAGTAATTAATCCCCCATATAGTAATTCATCCCCCATAGTAATTCATCCCCCATAGTAATTCATCCCCCCTATAGTAATTCATCCCCCTTTTTAGTAATTTATTCCCCATATTAATTCATCCCCCATATTAAGTCCCCAAGTCCCCCCTGTGTCAATTTACTTACCTTTGCTCCGCGCGTTCCTCTCGCCGTGTTCCCGCGCCGTTCCGGTCTTCAGGGCGGACTGTGAGAGGAGCCTAGCTCCCCTCACGTTCATCACGCTGCCCCGCCTACACACATCCTGACAGCCATCCTGACAGTATCACGCTCCGCGGGCCGGATTAAAAGGTCCGCCGGCCGTAGTTTGCCCATTGCTGCCCTAGACCCTATCCAAGTTTTTTTTACCCCGAATAAAACAAGAAAAACAAGCCCACAGACTGGTTACTGAGTCTAAATGGAAGTTGGAAAATGCATGTTGCCAGGCCATGCAGTTATAAGGGGACCCAAAACTCAATGTCTCCTCAGGGGGTTGCGCTACACAAGTAGTGTCAGAACTTACCTGGTTGTCCTCACTCCTGTACTTATTGGCCTACCACTATGATTGGCAGCCTCATTAGCCAATAGGATTATAGCATTTTGTTGATTGGGAATGTATAAAAGAGAAAGATACTACTCCAAATGATGTACAAATTACATAACGATTAAAAACAATAATATTTTAACCCCAGTGGTTTTTTTTTTTAAATTGTACCTATTGATAAAAACGCATGTATATATACCACTATACATAAAAAATTATACTCCACACAAATAATATGAATAACAAACACATAAGTGAGCTGTGTGAAAACAACTTTTATTAACAAAAGTGCATCTGGTAATAAACAAATGAATCAATATTTTTTTCATTTCTGTTAGTGTCCATGTACAACAAACATCTGAACATTTATGTATTGGGAGCCAATCTGGCACTCCAGGACATATTTAGGCACTGGAAGCTGCTGGTGAAGGTATTGGACAGGTTAAAGTAGGAGCAAAGCATAGGGAGGACCTCAGCAAGAGGAGGCGAGTGTAGGAAGGGCCTCAGTAGGTGGAAGTCAGAGCAGGCAGGACCTCAGCAGGAGAAGAGCACAGAGAGGACCATGGCAGGAGGAGAAGGAGAGTGCAGGTAGGACTTCAGCAGGAAGACAGCATAGAGAGGGCCCTGGCAGAAGGCGGAGAAGCAGGAAGGACCTCAGCAGGTGAAAGAGAGAGTAGGGAGGACCTTAAGAAGGAGAGCACAAAGAGGGCCTCAGCAGGAGTTGAAGGAGAGTGCAAGAAGGCTTTCCACATGAGGAGGAGAGAGCAGGAAGTACTTTGGTAGGTGGGGAGCATAGACAGGACCCTGGCAAGAGGAGGAGGAGAGTACAGAGTGGGCCCTAGCAGGATGGGGAAGAGAGTGCATGAAGGACCTCAGCTGGAAAAGAGCACAGAGAGGACCTCAGCAGTAGGTGAAGGAGAGTGCAGAAAAGACCTCCAGAGGAGGAGAGCGTAGAAAGGACCTCCACAGGAGGAGAGTGCAGGAAGGACCTCTGCAGGAGGAGAGTGCAGGAAGGGCCTCCGCAGGAAGAGAGTGCAGGAAGGACCTTCTCAGGAGGAGAGTGCGGGAAGGACCTTCTAAGGAGGAATGTGCAGGAAGGACCTTCTCAGGCGGAGAGTGCAGGAAGGGCCTCCGCAGGAGGAGAGTGCAGAAAGCACCTCTGTAGGAGAAGAGAGCAGGGAGGGCCTCAGCAGGAGGAGAACACAGAGAAGGAGGAGGAAAGTGTGGGAAATTCCTCAGCAAAAGCCCGAGAGAGAGCAACGAGGACCTCAGCAGAGGGAGGAAAGAGCAGGGAGAACCTCAGCAGTAGGAGAGCACAGAAATGGAGAGTGCACAAAGGCCCTTCACAGAAGATAAGGAAGCAGGAAGAACCTCAATAGAATTGAGCAGGAAGAACCTCGACAGGAGGAGAGAGCGGGGTGAACATCAGCAGAAGGAGGAGAGAGCAGGATGAACCTCAGCAGGTGGAAAGCACAGAGGTTCACAAAGCACAGCAAGAGAACTGAGCAAGGAGGAACTGAGCGGAAAGCGGGCACAGAGTGGACCTCAGCAGGAAAAGGTGGAAAATGTAAGGAGGACCTCCACATGAACAAAAGTTCAAGAACCACGATGCTAAAAAATATTGCAATCTGTTCATTTAATTCAGCGAACACATATGATAACCGTAATCTGTATTCAGTATTTTTCTTTTTTCATTTTACATGACATATTTATATTTGTCATCACATTTATCTGCAGACCAAGCTATCCAGCAAAAGTGACAGTGATAGGGATATTGACAATCTAGAACATTTCCAGGGTTTCCTACGCTCACCATTTATTCACATGGTTTACATATTTAGAAATTTAAAAAACTGTTGATGTGACTATACCAGTACCCCTGATAGTTGTCCAACAAGTCAGTTGGACTTTTGCTGGACAGCTTGGGCTGCGGGTACATTTTTAGAAATAGTACGACATGCCAAATACCCCCCAAAGATGTAATCAATAAAATATTATAAATGCATGTATTAACCCCTTACAGTTAAGGTAGAATACAATCCTAAATGGATGGCATTTAGTTTGCTAAGGCACTGTGTATCATAAAAAAAAAAATGGCTTTTTTCATAAAATACTGTGTTCATCTTTATAGTTTTTGGCATTTCAGCACTGTTGATTTCCCCAAGCCACTCTCTGTTTGAATATCATTTGTTAGAAAAGCATTGTGAATAGTGACAACAGTGGACCGTGGTTGTGCAATTTGTGTCCGCACAGCCAATTGTATTTTTCTTCTGTGTGACAACACAGGAGCACAATGAAGTGACAGCTGTCGCCCTATAACAGGAATTGCCTAAACAAGGACCTTCATGGCAGGATCAGCAGGTATTATTTTAATGAAAGCTGCATATTTAAAAACTTTGAAAGCCACTATAGATATTATATCAACATGTTACAGCCTAATATTAACATTTAATGACTGGGCTGAAATAAACTTTAAAGTACAACTCTGATAAGTTCAAATCGGTCACTAGTAGGACAGGATTTCTCATAGAAAAGAACTGAGCAGCGATATGAGCGCATAGTACAAAGCAGCTGTTTTCAGAAAAAAAGTCTGGGAGGCTACAAGCAGGTCCACACATTGAAAATTGCTTGATTGGGCCTGAAGGTACGTATTTGACACAGTTGTGGGGTAGGGGAATTAAAAATGTTCATTAACAGAATATATTTGCTGTAATAGTGGATAAACAGAAGAAACTTGGTTGTGCCAAAGTGAGCCATATCATAAAATATATTTGGCTAGGAAACCAGATGGGATACCATAGAGCCTAAGTGTGAGATTAAATATATGCAGATCAGTAATATCAAGCGTACATTGTGATATTGACCATCATCAGAATACAAGCAGATTAGACTTTCAAACTGGTCCAATCAGGATAACCATTTACATATACTTGGCCCTCAGTTCCTTAGGTAAGCTTGCCAGCACATGTTCCTCCACATCCAGTCCCCCTTTCTTCATTTGTAAGCAGTCGCAGATCTCCTTCGGTAGGGTTGCTAGATTGTTACCTGTAATATCCAAGCTAGACAGCAAAGGCAGCTGTCCAATCTCAGAAGGTATACTGGACAGTTTGTTAGAACCTGCATATAGAGACTTGAGCCTAGAGCAGCGGAACAACTCATGTGGCAAGTAAGAGATTTGATTAGCTGTAACCGCCAGCGTCTCTAGGCGTGTGAGGTGAACAACTTCTGGAGGGATAACTCTGATAAGGTTATAGCTAAAATCTAAATACCTCAATCTAACCAGGTTAAAGAGAGGAACTGGCAAGTTATCAAGCTTATTATGGGAAATGGAAAGTTCCTCCAAATTGCGCAAAAGTTCAATAGATGGTGGAAGCCGTAATATGGCATTGTGACATAATTTCAATACGGTGAGACTTCGAAGACGTTGAAGAGTACCAAGTTCATCAACATTCTGGATGAGGTTGGATGTCAGATCTATGTGCTGCATACTTGTTAAGCCAGAAACTACACCAGGAATTTTTGAGATCTTGCAATGGAGGAGCCTGAGTGTCACCAAACAGTTCATCTTTCTGAGCTGCCCTAGTGAGCCAAGCTCAGTGTCTCCATTTTGTATACTTAACTTAGACAGCTGGCCAGCCACATCCATTACAGCTGATGGTATGTGGGATAAGTTGCTTGTCAAAGAAAGAGATTGAAGACCACGAAGTCCATGCAGGGAATGCAGACGAATGGTTTTATTGCTAGAACAGTTGAGGTTCCCAGATAGGTACAGTTCCTGTAAGTTCTTTAAACAGTACAACCAAGATGGGAGTTCCTCCAAGTCTGTGAACCTGATATGAAGGGTTTTCACACTCTGCTGAAGAAAACTAAGTGCATCAGGGTCCACTTTTACAGAACAATGGCTGATGTGGAGCTCGGAGAGAGATTTCAGCTGGGACACTGCTCCTAGAAGCCTTGCAGATGAGATCAGTTCCAACTTAAGAACTTCAACCTCATTCAGTTCATAAACAGATTTTGGTATTGCAGGCAACATTGAAAGTTGCAGTTCATACTGTCCTTTGGCATTCTTGCCAATTGTATCTTTCAACTTGTCCCTTGACCATTCAGAGTTCAGTGCAAGCTCTCTGAGCCGTCCTTCACTCACGGCTGACAGAAATACTGAAAATCTTTTGGAGTACAATGAGTCGTAGCGGTCTACCATGTGCAACAAAAAGGCAAAGTCATTTTTGACTTCAGGAATATCTCCAAAACCAGTCCCATCACTGTGTTTTTGAAAAGAGTACGTCTTGAGTGAACTTCTGAAAAGCCAAAATAAGGCATAAAAAGACAAAAATGCATAGAGGCAGAGAAACAGAACATAAGTCAACAGAATTTTTTCAAGTATGAATGCCAAGTTGTGTGTGCAGGTGAACAGAGAATATCCCATAAGATTATGTATTCCAGGTTTGCAGGTATGCTGGAAATTGAACAATCCTATTAAGCTAAGTGCATACCCAAGCACCAGCATTACTGTCATAACTTTAAACACAATCTGCCCTACATAAACTTTGTATACAGCATCTGAGTTTTCAGCATGGCAACGGAAATGACGTATCTTCTCAAACAAAGCTTTAGCCTGTTCTTCCTCTTTTTTATCTAATATTGTGGAGACAGGGGCTTGAATGGCAGAAAATCTAACCTCACTGAGCAGTGGTGTTTTAGGTGAATAGTCCATAGAGCGTGTGCTGCTGGATTTCATACGGTTATTCTCTGGTGGAGGTTGGTCACTAGTTTCCTCAAGTGCCTTAGTAGTCCATGGAGATTCAAAGCATTTGGCCAAAATGGAAAGAAAGTGCTCAACTTTAGAAGAGGTTTTGGGGTACTTAAACCAAACATTACTGCTGACAAGCAAAACCAAAGTGTTGATAAGTGCCATATAAGGGAAATATTTGGAATGCCAAGGTACCACCTTGTGGTAACACACAACACTCACATACATGTACTGCTGATAGTCCAAGCTCGTCGGATGGCCAATCTTTCTTGGAGATAATGAAGGAGTAATTCTTGCTTCATTTAACTCATTTGATAAATACTTGTCAGGCTCTTTTGTTTTTGGCATGCACACAACCTTATCCGTTGTTATAAGGAGAGTGGCAGAAAAGAAGGATGCCATAAGCATGAGAACAAGAAGATAATCCATGAGAACATCCCACCATGGTTTCAGGGCCTTGAAATGGGCCTGGGATTCGGACAAGCTGGAGGCCTCGCTCACAGTTATCATTCCTGAAATTAGACACACAGGATTTATCATGGAGAAACACACAAAAAAAAATGAATAGTTTGGTTGTAAGGTGGTTTGTAAAACTGCATATAGAGATATTAAATGGACCAAAAATTGAGTTTGGCCTAGTGGATGGGGAGAGGTTAGCATTGCAGTGGAGATGGAGGGAACAGTAACAAATGGGAAACGTTCTCTAACCATTCTGATTCCTAATTTCTTTTGACAGAGGCCAGCCAATAGACTCTACCCACAGTGAGAACAGGTAACCATCATTTCTTGCCCATGAGTAAACATAAGAGCCTTCACACATGTTTGCTTTCCCAAAAACATGTTTCTTATACAGCTACTTTTCTAAAGTTCAAAGGAAAACAGATGCAACTAACATACACTCTTCTCTTCCTGTTCATAACGACTCTCTACAGACTTTGAATTAGAGAGAGAGAGACAGTCGGAAACCATCACTGTATTTTCTTTCTAGAAAAACCCAATGTTGTATTACACCATCCTATATACCTCTGGGGGACATAAAAATGATTGTTCTTGCCTAGGGTACCAGGTTAAATGCTCATTTTTGCCTAGAGTGGCAGTAAAAATCACTTTTTACTTACCTTATACCTTGCGCCTACAAGCTCCTTCTGCCTTGTGAGGGTCCACTGAAGACTTTTTTTCTTCTGCATTCCATCTGGCAGACTCACATGTGATGTCATCATGTACAACGCAGGACCGACAGTTCTGCATTAAAAGTGAGGACACCAATAACCCACCTACAACCCAAAGCTTTGGCAAGAAAGGAAGTGGGGAATAAGGTAAGTAAAAGTTCTTTTTCCTGGCAGCCTGGGTAAAAAGGAGCATTTAACTATTGCAATCTGGAGGGGAGCCCTACTGCAAGGGTGTTTTTTTTTCAGTTCCTCGAACTTTAAACATTTGTTTGTACAATACTGCATTTATGTAAATACTAAAATGAGAAAATATCAGTTTAAAGCTTTACAAAAGAAATTTTAAATTTTAAAAACTGACCACGAACCATTAGTTTCCCCTTAAAATCATGTTGTATCTACGAAGTATCTGTACAGTTTGATTGCTATGTCTCTGGCGTCCATTACCACGAAGACAGAAAGTGAGGGAAAATCCAAACCGACACCATTACTACCAGAGCTAGAAGTAGAGATAAATCTTCCAATGTAGACACCCCTCACAGTGCAGAATACCCCTCAGTTTGTAGAGATTTCCAATTACTTTTTGTTGTGTTTATAGGGACAGGAAATTAAAGAAAATCCCCCCAACAGATTGCAGACAGGACAAAATAATCTGATGGGTGTTTTACTCTTGCTATCAGTGCCCATCAGTGCTGGCTGTCAGTGCCCATCAGTGATGCCTGTCAGTGCCCATTAGCGCCGCATATTGGTGCAGCCTCATCAGTGTCCATTAGTGCAGCCTTCTGGTGCTCATCAATGCAGTATCATCAGCACACAGTGAAGGAGAAATATCACTTATTTCCAAAACTTTAAAACAGAAACTAAGAAAAACTTTTTTCAAAATTGTTTTTTTTTTGGTTTAACAAAAAATAAAAACCCCAGTTGTGATTAACTACCACCAAAAGAAAGCTCTATTTGTCTCGAAATAATGATAAAACATTTAATTTGGGTACAGTGTTGCATGACCGCGCAATTGTCATCCAAAGTGCAACAACACTGTAAGCTTAAAATTGGCCTGGGCAGAAAATAATAAAAGTGCCCAGTTAGCAAGTGGTTAATCAGCATGATAATTCAGAACAACATAGACAAAATTCAGTAAAACAAAGAAATATAATTCCAAATAAACTTAAGTCCCCCTTTACATCATAGTCTCCCTTACATCAAAGTTACCCTTACATAAGTGTCCCAGAAAAAAATCTTGCAGTGGGCTGTATTTGGCCCAGGGCCTTAGTTTGGAGAACCCTGTTATAGATCAAGCTGCTTTCATGCACAGATAGTCATAGTGCTTGCTGGTGCAGCTTACTCAGCAGCCAGCAGGTGGCAGAGTTCTGAAATACAGACCTAGATAAGTAGAGCCAATACCTTTGAATTGCCCTCCTATCCCACCCAGATTAGGTCTTTTCCTATTCTCTGTTTCTTGTAGTGGTGTATCTTGTATCATTCAATTAATTATAAAGTACATGTGTGCTTTTTCTTAATAGTCTTGTAAATTTCTAGCGATGATCAGTATCAGTTTTTCTTCCCCATGCTAGTATTTGCTCAGCACATGTGGTTGCCCTCCAATTTCCATAAACTGTGCTGCAGCCAGCATTCCCTATCCTTGGTGTCATTGTATGACTTTTGCAGTCTTGCTTACCTTGGTCGAGTGCTGATGAACTGACAGTCCTTACCTCTTCGGGCGAGCATTTTGTAAACCAGGAAGAAACAGCAGATGTTGATCTTTCTCAATCCAAGACAAGTCTCAGCGTGAATCTTTTGCAATCTCTGTAGAACAGTCAAAAGGATGTGTAGCCCCTTCACCTCGTTCCCCACGGCAAATATTTCTTAAAACATAAGGCACAGTTTTTCAATCTGAAGATACAACTGCAATACTTTCCACAGTGTAACTATGTCTGTGCCTTGGCCTCACCCTGTGAAAGTCTTTAGTTTACACCCACGCCAGTCATATGTATAACAACTCATACAAGCCAATTAAAGGCTTATTGTGTATTATGCAGAACTCCACTGCAAATATTCTTTGTAAGTTTTGGATAGGATGGGAAGGGTTTGATACCCAGTCGTGTCTTTAGTGATGTTCATGTCCAGGATAAGGAAATGTTCCCCTTCTCCAGATCTACCATGGTAACTGATGCTTAGCTTTGAGCAAAGCATTCTCCTTTCCTCTCTTTCCAGTGCATTCTTTGGAAGACCTCTAAGGTGGCAAGAATAGAGCCAAGAACAGTTTCATGGAGATCACACTGCTGGATAAAACTTTTGCATGGATTGTTCTTTATATTCTTTTAACCCCTCTGCACACTGCACCCAAATGTTCTTTTAAGTTTTGGATAGGGTGGGAGAGATTTGATATCCCACCAGGTTTTTAATGATGTCAATGTCCAGAATGAGGAAATGCTTCACATCAGTTGATCTACCATGGTAACTGCTCCCAGCCTTGAGCAGAGTGTCCTGCTTTCCCCTTCTTAACTTTGCATTCTCAATAAATAATAATTCCTAAAACACTATGGAGACACAAGTCTCATGGAAGACCTCCAAGGTGACAGAAAACAGAGCCAGATACAGCTTCAGGGACATTACACTGCTGGATTGATCTGTATATTCCCAAAACCTTGTACACACTCCACCCAAATGTTCTTTTTAGTTTTGGATAGGGTGGGAAGGGTTTGCTACACCTTTGGGTCTTTAGTAATGTCCAGGATGATTAAATGTCCCCCATCTCTGAATCTACTATGGTAACTCTCGTGATTCCGATACTCTGCACACCAAAATTTAGTCTGAAAGCATGAATGCCAGCATTTATTGCATCGTATAACACCATTTACTGCTTCACCTTCACTGTACAGTCAGAAGGATGAGGTAGAAATAGGACAGCACGGTATGCTTTACTTGTAAGTAGCGTTATTCATCTGCATGCGTGGTGGGGCTGTTTAAATCCCAGGACTAGATGGACAAAAAAATACATTGTTAGCAGGTAAAAGATTTCCCTTATTATGTGTATTTCACCTGTATTTAGCCATTTGCCAGGAGTTCAGCTAACCCTGTCAGATTCCATTTGTTGGTCCCTACTATAAAAAAGCCTTTCAGACAGCCTAGACCTCCAAATTCCCTCCATGTCAGCAATGTATTCAACTCTTTGGCTATTGACACTTCCAGGAGTGCCAGATGCTGGTGTCTCCTTTTCATCCCACAAAATCCTCCATTACCATAGGACTTAGCAGTTTGATGGCATCTACTCATAGTCCAATAAGCAGGTTGATGGTGGCAAGGTCGCATGGAAAGCTGCAGAACTGCAGTTCATCAGGGGGCACCACCCTTGCTACCCCCACCTTCCCTTTTATGAAGTCTTCAGGCTGGTCAGTGTGACTCCACAGGGTCCCCTTCTCCAGGCTGGTAATCTTTACTGAGACAGATGCATACTTCCCAGCTTTCTAAAATGATAAAGAGGGACATCTTTTAGCGCACAGTATGTAGGCAGTGGACACATCCTTGCTAAGGCCCTGGTTACATAGACCACAGAGATTTATCATGCAGAAAATTATTGGCTAAACCACACAAGTGCTTTTTTATTTTCCTTTATATTGTTTTATCTAAATAATAAATGTGGTAATATAGAGGCTGGATAAAAAATGGAGTGCAGTGTAACACATTTTGTAGTAAAATGGTACATTTTGGGGATGATTCATTAAAACTGGAGAGTGCAAAGTCTGGTGAAGCTCTACATAGAAACCAATCAGCCTACTGTTTTGTTTTTTTTTTTTGTCA